CTTCTATATCCTGAAACGATTCCGATTGAATCAAGCGAATAACAACCTTTTCTGCAAAATCAATTTCATCAACAGTGAGTTCACCTTTCCTTTTTTTCTTATTTCTGCAATTAAAGAAAAATCGTTGAATCCAACCAACAACTCTAACTGTTTTTCGATAGCTAGAAAAGCGCTCACTCAAACTAAACCTTTCAGTAGACACTAGAGATGAAACCACTGCTTTTTTTTTTTTTTTTTTCTTGTTGGCTATTTCCGCTTCATCAGTTCTGAATTCGGCACTCGGCCAATTTTCTTGGGATTTTATATTTATATTTTCTTGGGATTTAAGCCAGCTCGGACCCTCCAACATTTTGACCGGGAGAGTTGGCGAACTGAACACCCTCTACTTGGAAGATCTGCAGGGTTAAGGTGACCAGGTGTATGCCTTCAATCATCCACACGTGCCAAAAGCCTTATTTCCTGTACTCTATTTTGTATTTGTCAAATGTACTTTGTACAAATGTCCCCCATGGTTCTTCCCTTTTTATCCATGCAAGGACGGTAGTTGAATCTGTACAGAAAAATGTACTTCTGGCCTCAAAGTCTTTTAGAACGTTTGCAGCAAGACGAGATGCAATAGTTGCTGCTAACAATTCTAATCTTACAATAGTCGTTTCCTTTTTACCACAAGGGGAAACTCTAGACCTAGCCTGAAGCAACTGGACTTTAACTGATTCAGTTTCTTCTACACGAATGAAAACTACTGCCGCATACGCTGCTTGACTGGCGTCACAGAAAACATGTATTGAACACTGTTTTGGCTGATATCGTATCCACCTTGGAATTTTAATGTTTTTCAAAAGAAAAATGTCTTTTACCCATTTCAAAAATTTACTTTTAATTTCAGTGTTAACTTCTTCGTCCCATTTTACTTTTGTTTCCCATGTACGCTGTAATAACATCTTAGGTAATATAAGGACTGGACATGCTATACCGATGGGATCAAATACTTTATGGGTTATTGCCAAAATACTTCTTTTCGTGACTTTCTCAAAACAAAGATTTTGCAAATTAGCAACATTTATTTTAAGAGTATCGCCTTGTCTTTCCCATAATAAACCTAATACATTCGCAATAGTTTCTGTTTCTAAACTACAGTCGGTATATTCCCAACCCCGTAATTCAAATTTTCGTTCTGCCATAACATCTGAAGATACGTTCATGAAGCGCTGTAATTCGTCTTCACTCCTGACACTTATTACACAGTTATCAACATAGAAACTATTCATTAATTTAACAATAATGTCCGAAGGATATTTTACATCTGCATCATTTTTCTCTGAAATTGAATTTAAGTGATACTGAATACCAGCTCCAAGTAAAAATGGACTACTGGTTACACCAAATACGACTCGACAATGACGAAAATGCTTCAAGCCAATCTTCACCCTTTATCCAAAGAAATCGAAATCTGAGGAAGTTTCTGTCACTAGAATTCAGGCCAATTTGTAGAAAGGCCTTACGAATATCAGAAATCACCCCTATTTTTCTTGGCGAAATCTATTTAAGATTGTAGGAATAAATGCAATAAGGTTTAATCCTTTTTCAAGACAATCGCTGAGACTCGGAGAACCCTTTCCTTTAGACGAAGCGTCAAATACTGGCCGTAACTTCGTAGTACTATGTTCCTTAACAACATGTCTATGTGGCAAATAATGATGGGGTAAATCTAATTCATTTACGGGTACTTCCTCTATTATGCCCTCTTTGAGCCATTCATGGAATATATTTTCATACTCTAGGAGAAGATTATTCAGTTCAAGTTGCCTAATCGTACTGTGCAATCTTTTAAGCGATAACTCAAAATTATCCGATAGGGGAGTGTGTCCTTCCAACCAAGGCAAAGGCACTACAAAGCGGTCATCTTCTATTTTTACAGTATCAAGAAAATGTTGCCTGGTACCCTCATACAATTCCAATTTACTCTTTTGTTCGGATGGATTCGTAATACCAAGCGAGTCGAGGGCCCATAAATAAGAAATACATGCTTCTTTATTCAACATTGAAGTAACTAAGAATGTTGAACCTTTTCACTATTCAACTCCCCGGTTTTTCCCATAACCGTCCATCCTAACTTTGTCTCAATAGCTACAAGACCGTTTGAAATCTGTTTACTATTTCCCGTTAATAATCGTCCTGCAACATCGGCTCCTATTAAAATTTCTATAGGTCCTTCTAAACGATCTGTTAAACTTATTCCACAGTCAGCAAGCTCTTTAAACAATATTCCTTGTCCAATAGAAGGTATATTATTACAAATAACACGCTGACTTAACGTATCAAAATTACAGCTGTACGAGCCAGACGTCACAAACTGGTCGTTGTACCGCCAAATAACGCATGGCTAAGGTATTCCTTAACCATATACCTATAACCCATATCTTGAGCTGTGCTTTGCAGAATATACGACCTCTGAGAACCAATATCAATTATAGCTCGAGCCGAACGAGATTTTTTATCTCCTTTAATTATTACTCTTATTGTTTGCAGCAAAACTTTAGGAGACCTTGAAGAAATGTTGGCGAGAGTTTCAGCCTGATTTGGAGGCTGTTCCGTTGCCCTTGTTTCACTCATTTGTGAATGGCCTTTACATAGAAAAATATGATGCCTTTTACCACATGTAAAACAAACTGTTTTTAATCTACACCTCCTGACAGAATGTCCAGATTTCAGACACAGGTTAAAAAGATCGTGTCCTTTGGACCAAAACTTTTCTTTCCGACAACGATAAGTTACGCGCCTGAAAACATTCCGCAAAACCATAATTTATACTGGAACAAAATATGCAGACTTTTCTAGCTTCATGAGAAGAAGTAAACAGTTTAGCTGCCGTAGGTTTTAAGTGAGGTTCTCTTATCTTTTACCCGAATTTCCTTTCTTATTATCGTGAGCCAATCGATCGAAAACATTGAAAGATTTAGCTGCTAAAGAAATTCTTTCCTCACTTTTAACTTCACCGCGCAAGAAACATAAAAGGCACTCAAATTCAGATTCTCTTTCTCTTAACTCGGCGTTTTCGCCGGTTAAACTTTCTGATCCTTTACGCGAAAACCTTAGTCTCTTCCACGTTTTCAAAACTTCATTCGGCAATGGGCCCACCAGTGGCCGAGCGGTAAAGTCGCTGAACACTGGTAGTTCGGTCCGAGGTTCGAATCCCGCGAACGGGCTGGCTGCATGGGTGTTTTCGTGGTTTTCCCCATGTGTAACGTGTATACGAGCCAGTTTCCCTTAGAAAGTCCTCCACGAAGGCATCCCTCCCCTTAGGCAGATAGCCCTAGTGTGCTTTGCCATAATTAAATACACACCAACACCATCATTCGGCAATGCTGATTCTACCAATGGGTATAATATCGCGCAATATTTGCCTCTATTTATTCCCAATATCTCCAAGGCTCTTAGATTAGATTCAAGTTCATCGTATAATTTCCGTAAAGAATGTGTACTTTGTTTTTGAATAATAAGAGTTAACAAATCACAAATATAAATCTCCGTTAATAATTCTTTGTTACCGAAACGCGTTTGCAGTGCCTCAATTGCGCTGTTGTAACTATCGCCAGTTGGCGGAAAGCTTTTAACTATTTCCTCTGCGGGAGAATTCTTCTCCATAGCCTGTGCCAAATAAGCAAATTTATCATTATTGTCTAATGTAGGATCTTTATCAATCTTCTGGAATTGCCCCCAAAATTATAGCCATTTCTTCACGTTAACATCAAAGATAGGCAATTTAATCTTCGGATAATGTAACATTTTATTCTGAACAAAGGACGGATCAATTAAAGTTACATTCGGGGTACCAGAAGTGAGATCTTTTAGTTTACTTTCCATAAGTCTCCACCAATCAAAATGTAATTCAGATTCATCTATTTTCTTAATAAGTAAGGTCTCATCTGTAATTTCTTTAAACATTAATTCTCGTATTTTCATTTCAGTATCGGCCCACCAGCGGCCGAGCGGTAAAGTCGCTGAACACTGGTAGTTCGGTCCGAGGTTCGAATCCCGCGAACGGGCTGGCTGCATGGGCGTTTTCGTGGTTTTCCCCATGTGTAACGTGTATACGAGCCAGTTTCCCTTAGAAAGTCCTCCACGAAAGGCATCCCTCCCCTCAGGCAGATAGCCCTCGTGTGCTTTGCCATAATTAAATACACCAACACACACCACCACCATTTCAGTATCAAACAAAACTTTAGCTTTCTCGGCAATAACTTTTATTTTAATTAATTTTTCTTCCTGATTAAATTTAGTTTCTTCATTGTCAAATTCATTACACGCTTTTACTAAATAATCTTCTATATTGAGTTCGTGCTAACTTTAAGGCTTCCATGATTCAAAAATAAAAAAGTCGCTTACCTTGCAGACAATAACCAGATCGCGGACGCCAAATGTTGATTTTTCCTGTTAAATCCTATGTGATATATCTGACTTCGAATCTAAAATTTCTAAAGAACACAAAACCTTGTCTAAAACTTAAAGGTTTATTCAACTGGAACTTCAAAAATGATGAAAAACTTAACATCATAAACGAAAACGTAACATCTTAGGTGGAAACATTCAAAATGCTTTAAACTGGCAGCTATTCCGGCACGGTAAAGAACACTTTCTTTAAAAAGACAAAATCCATCTGGCCCTTTCGGCATATATCTCCATTTTAGCTTCGCTGGATTCACACTTCAGCTACTACGTGTTTTGGACTTAAACGGCCGGACTAGAACTAGAACAGGACCGGAACAGGACTGGAACCGGAACAAGACGGGAACCGGAAACAAGACGGGAACTGGAACAGGATGGAAACCGGAACAAGACTGAAACCGGAACCTTATCATCCCCTGGCTTCTCTCCCGGGCAGGTCTACTCGCTCGAACTGAAAATGAACTGCACCGCTACCAAGGAAAGCACCTCCTTTTATTGACGGCGGTTGCCGTTACTACAGGCGATTATGCAAAATATTTAACAGTATACTTGTATATGATAAAGTAATTTTATTCCTTCTTTCTGGAATGTTGATGATCACGTACGTGATCAACGTAATACATACATACATACATAAATATACAATATTGGAATGTTTTTTGCAAAACAAACTGGTTCGAAAATTCCGTTTGACATTATGATAACAGATGATGCGAAGCTCTAATTATGTGTTACATCTTCAATTCTTTAAAACTATATGTGCTGATATTCATTTTGCACAGTTTATTTTGTGCAATTTATAGCTTTAACTGGAGTTGTAGTGCCGTTTACAACTCTGACTGGAGTAGGACTTGTCGCTTTCTTGAATAGGGGTCTCCAGACTGGTAGATCATGTGGCCATTTTCCTTCCTGTAGTTGAGACACACGTTTTTTGGTGTAAATAATATTCATGACACTAGAAGGGAAAAAGTTAAACGGCATTAAATTATTTCTTAACTGAAAATGATTAATAGAAATCAATTGGAATATTTCAAAATTTTTTGCTCATATCCCTTTAGAAAGATTTCAATCAAATTAATTTAAAATGCAACTTTTTTTTTTTTAATGTTTGAAAGATAAGTGTAGAAAATCTAATGAATTAAAGCTTCAAAAAATCAACTCGCCTAGTTATAATATTATTAATATGTCTACTTTTTAATTACGTGCACATATATTATATGTACAAGGTATTCCACGTGAAATAGGTTCCACAAATTCGATAAGTAAAAATTCCTTTTACTAAACTCCCGGCGATCTTAATGAGGATCATCCTTGCATCCGACAAAGATTTTGTACCTGACGAAGATGAAAAATTTGATAGTTTTCGGAGAAAACCTGCGATTTCCGATACAAATCTCATTCCTAAAGTTTAGAAAAGAGTAAAATATTTATTGTTATTTTATATCCAAAAAAAAAAAAAAAAATAGGACTGATCTCTGGTGTCGTAAAGATGGTATTGTCTACCCATAAACAATTAGCAGAAGCCGGTCTTGTTATATCTAGAGTTCAGAACTTTAAAACTTCTAGAACTTCAGAACGAAAAAAAAAAAAAGTGTTGATGAGTACCTGTAAAAAGACAAGACTGATTAAGACGCTTGGATATTTATCAGACCAAGATTCTATGTATACAATGACAGCAGAAAATTCTATGTATACAATGACAGCACGTTGTGGAAAAGTCTGAATTTTGCCCTTAAAACTAATAACTATAGACAGAAATATAAGCGGTTAATAAGTAAATGTATATAATCCACTTTATGTAATAGGGATCTATAACTACTGGAATTCGCGCCGTGAGTTTCTGACGGTTTCCTTTAAGATGAATCATCTGGTCAGAAGAAGAGCAGAAAGGAAAGAAGGTAGCTTTAACCGTTTCAGGTACAAGGACGATAAATGACCGAGAGGTGGATGCAGCCAGTATATCAGGAGCTGGCAGAAATTTTTGGTGTGTAATGAATTGGAAAGCCATCCGTCTACGCAGAATTTTACGTCCATAAACCTTGGAGATTTTTAAGTCTGTTAAAATCACAGTAATAAGTAATAGAAAATGTCAGTCTCACTTATAGAGGCAAGTTAAAGAAGCCGCATTGCCATTTTAAAATATAGCTGTTTTGCAGGATTGTAGCAAAAATTTGATTTGCGACGGAGGAAAATGTCTAAAAGTATTTCAGATTTTAGCATCGCAATCAGAACGTTTACTAAGGTTTTATAACGCTCTCGCTAAACTCGCAGTTTAACAGTCTGCTTTTAGACACACTCAGCACAACTTTTTCTATTTTTTAAATTTTATTATTCAACATTACTTTTTTCGCACTTACGCCACATAAAAATCAAAAGTAAAATTAAAACAAATAAATAAAATAAAAAATAATTAATAAAATCTGAAAGGTTTCAGATTTTAAATTACGTCCAAAGAGGCGTTTCTCTTTTTTTTTTTTTTTTTTTTAATTTTTTTTAACACTTTGTGTGTTACCTTTATATATTAAATATCACGTTCTTCGTATTTAAACCATAAAATTCAGTTCAAGCGCAACATCGCAAAATAAATTTAAATTGAGCATGTCTTTAGAATTTCCGATACACAGTCTCATGCGCTGGAGATAAAAATGTTTTTTTCTGTACAACGTTTCCATTGCTCGCTTTGAAATCCTTGAGTTTGTTAATCAAAAATTAGTTAAAGTTTTACAAAATATGTAATCGATAATAAAACAAATTCCAAATTTCAAATTTGAGCTTCCAGATGCTCATATTCGCAGTAGGATTACGTCATTCAAAATTTGATGGCTCTAGGTGCCGTTGTTTTATCACAATGCGAGAAACATACATACAATTATGCATATGCTTTACTATTTAATTTCTTCAAATATAATACGGAGCGATAATATGTGGTGGCAACAGTTTGAAAAGTGAAACGGATATTTAGAATGATTCGACGCAAAATCGCAAAACGAAAACAATAGTCCCTCAGGGACAAAGCCCTTTTGGACTAAAAATTTTAAATGCAGCATATTTTTAGAATTTCCGATGCTACTATACATTTCATTTTTCAGTCTTTTGTTTGTTTATGTTATCAATGATCAGTCTTCTCACATGACTTATGTAACCCTTTTTATCTTTTTATTATTATATTTTTAATTTTATTTATTTCATATTACTTTCTTGAGCAACATAAAATTCAACAGCAAACTCACAAAATATTTAAAAGCAAGCATATCTTTAGGATTCCCGATGGAATGTACGATAGATTTTTTTATATTCACTATGTTATTTCTTTAAAAATAATACACGGCGATAACATTGGTGGCAACATTCTTTTATTTCTGTTGCCATACAATTTCTTATAATCTCTATATTATTTCTTTAAAAAATAAACTTTTCAATAATATTTGGTGGCTACATGCCTTTATTTGAAAAGTGATACGCACAAAAAAAGTGAGGACCGAGAACACATTTGGTGCTTAAAAAATAAGCAATAAAACGATAAAAAATTTTTAAAAATTAAAAATTATTAAATGAAAAATTAATTTTTAAATTTTTAAAAAGGGGCAATAAACGATATGTCTTTTGTAAAATATTCATATAAATATGTGTCTAATATATAGAATCGGATATCTTATAGCTATACACATAATAAAGAAAACATAAATTTACTCACTATTTGTACAAATCAGGTACATATTGAGATGATCCAAGCATGAGAAGGAATGGCTGGTAGGCAATCCATGATTCAAACAATTTATTTATTGCTGCCACAAGCGTCAGGTGAGCGCATCTTTCTGATGACATATTCGTACATTCATAATGAATGTAGTCCTTCTGCAGTATCTACAAATATGTGTTTTGTAATTAAATTAAAAAAGCAGAGTACATGTAAAGTTGGTTAGAAATTTTGAGAAATATCAGTATGCAGCTTACGACATTTCAAAACATGAGTATTTTGGGTACATTAATTAATAGTTTTGAGTTCTTATGCTTCGCATTAACCTAGTTTGTTATGGGGGCTTCTTGATTTATTATAAATGAGAAGTTTCAAGACTACATTTCAAGAGCTGGTAGCCTGACCAAGATCCTGGACTTGGAGGTAACAAGATCACGAAATACAGCAAGAGCTATTCGAAAAAATCGTTTAGGAGGTTTAATACGATTATAATACACATCCTTTTATTTGATATATAAAACGTATTCAATAAATAACATCTGAATTTTATTATTTAGAAAATATCCGTACTTCGTTTCATATTCAATAATAACTATGACTAGGTTTCATAGTCAATAAATATATCTATGTCATACAGAGAACGGACCATATGTGATTAAAAAAAACTTTCGTACTAATATGAAAGTTTTCATAATGACATCATGTCATATGACAAGGATATAGAATGATTCTATATCCTTGTCATAATTTTAAAACAATCCTAGCAGATATCCTGAAGGTATTTGTAATTTATTACGATAAAAACACTAAAGGATATCTGTCATGGAAATGCATGTTTTTGAAGAAAAGCTTCATAAATGAATACAAATTATTTATTTTCACTTAGAAAACAGTGTGTAAATTCCGCAAATTGTCGCAAAGAATTGAATCCATATGAACATACGGAATTTAAAATCCCATTTAAATGCTTTCAAAGAAACGGACACTTCCAATTAAAGAGAACTCACATTTTTGATTGAAAAAACTGCATTATTCGGTGATCTCATCCATTGGATCATACAAAGCGTCTTAAATGCCAGATTTCAGAATTCATAAAAATGCTGAGTTGATTATTAGATAAGACATAAGAAATTATTAGGCATTTTATTTCGAAACAGAAGACGCGAGATGTGAAATGCTGTCCCCGGGATTCGAATTCCGGATTTCCTCATGCCAGCCGAACATGATCCTAATTACACCACGAAGTCATGCAGTAAGGAAAGAGAAAATACCTTAAATTCTCCCCTATGTAAAGGAAATGAGACAAAATCGCCAAATTCTGAAGGTGAAGAATTATCATTAATTACCTTTTAGTTTGGGCGCAACTGCAAAAATCATTAGGCATTATATTTCGGAGAAAGAAACGCGAAAAATGTCTAATGCCTTTGCAGGGATTCGAAATTCGCAGCAAGCGATGCTAGCCGGGCGTACTTCTGAATAGACCACAAGGATACGTAGTAAAGAAAGAGAAAATACCTTCCAAAGATTGGTCAGACGTGTTATATAACTTGTCATCGATTGAGTGAAAATTTAACTGAGATAGTAATCAATTGAAAATACTTCAAGTGTACGAGCTATCATAAACAGAAGATACGAGCCAGTTTCCCTTAGAAATTCCTCCACGAAGGCATCCCTTCCCTTAGGCAGATAGCCCTCGAGGCTTTGCCATAATCACACACACATAAACAGAAGAAGAAATATGAATTTGGCCGCCATATACCTTGATTGTAAGACCAATGAAAAGTATCCATAGTATATTGCTTATCGGTATCTGTGAAAAATGCTTTGTCAGACGAAAAAAAAAAAAAAAGTGTGAGAGAGAGAAAATAAACTAAGAAAAATTAAAGAACATGCAAAGGATTCTGTACGACACTAAATTTTATGGTTTGGTTTATTTGACTTGATTATGGCAAAGCACTTTAAGACTATTTGCCTAAGGGAACGGATGCCTTTGTAGAGAACTTTCTAAAGGAAACTGGCTCGTATACACATTACATACAAAGCCACGAAAGCGTTAATGCAGCCAACCCATTCGCGGGATTCGAACCTCGGACAGAACTAACTGTGTTCGGCGACTTTACAGCTCTGCCGCTGGTGGACCCACTGAATTTTTGCAATCCTTGACAACGTTCTATTATCCTTTCCAACCAGATCATGTTTAGCATAAGAGTCAGAATTATAAGATTCAAATCTGCGCATGTGCTGATGTAAAAACTGTTGACATAATTAGGATTTTGGCTTTTATATTTTTAAATGGGTTCACATTTTTCATTTCTTTTAAAACTCCTTAATAATAAACAGTAACTTTCTGATTATTTATTTTTTTACTTCAGTATTATCTTTTACTTATTGCAAAGGATTATGGATTGTATATTTGGCATTACTCGCCCGCAGAATTCCGAATGGCTTGTTTTTCTTAAAGAAATACTGAATTCATTACTAACTTATTCTTTACTTTCATACAAGATGGCCGTAATTAAAGAAAGTCTTTCAAGCGTGAGTTTAAAAAAAATGAAAATTTCAGAATGAATTTCAGCGAAAAATGATCCTGCAGCCACGTAAAAACATATTTTCAAACAAAAATTTAACCTGTTATAATAGTTTGGTAGAAATAAGAAATAATGCATCTGTCTGATAGAGTACGAGCTGTAGGAACTTTAAGTGATCATGATTTGTTGGTAATACTTTATCACAAATGTAGGTGGCAATGCTTTTGCCGTGCTTTGGGAATTCCCGATTTAAGAAATTCAATGACTATTATAAACATCTGCATTTCAAAAGGATAGAAATGGTTAATGCAGGTAAGATTCAAGGGTTTAAATTAAAGGTTCAAGTTAATGGAAAATATAAAACTTGTAAATTAAAAACAAATTAAGAACAGTTTTCATGTGGTGTTGAGAAAAGAAATAATGTGCGAAATGCGCGGCACTTTTTTTTTTTTTTTTAAATTTATAAGACCTTAGAACAATATTATACTACGCATAACAGCTGAGAAAATATTAAAATGCTTATATGACTAATTTAGTCATTATCAAGCTGTGCATCCGCATTTTAATTGCAACATTAATTATACGAAGAGTTACAATTTTATTAAATGTAAATAATTAAACAGTAATATTATTGGATAATTAATTTCTTTATATAGAGAACCTGAAGAATGTGCAAAGATTTTACGAGCAATTTACGAAAACCACCAAAAATGGATTATATTAAAATATATACTATTAAAAACTATTAAACTAGTAAATTATTATTATTATATAACTACTAAAACTATACTCTGCATGGCAAGAAAAGGTATGCCGTCGTGAAAGATTTCAGTAATAAAACCGGACCGTATTTATGTTGCACACAGAGAAAACTCCAAGGGACCATGCAGCCAGCCTGTTTGCTTGGACTCGAACCTATACCGAATTATCCGTGCACATCTGTCTTATCCACTCGGCTAGTGACGGATTGAAACTAGCACGGAAAACAGTCTGTAGAGAAAGAAATACATCACTATTTTCTTATCTTATCGCAAACCTTCAATCATGCAAAATAAAAGTAAAGCAAAAAAAAGGAAAAAAAAGTGTTTTTTAATGTCGAAATAGCGTTTTCCACTGAAAGTTTTGTATCAATTTTTTTTTACATTATCATTAGACCGTCATGGGCTTCAACAAACTTATATACCGCATTTCCTGCCCTAGCTTTTTAGCTGCAGGCTCTGAAATTTTTTTAATATTCACTTGATTTTTTCCATACATTTTCCATTTCCAGTACATTTAACGTTAATTCCCATTTCCAATGCGTTCATTTCCTATTTCCAACGCGTTCAAAGAATGAGATGGAAAATTTCCCAATTCTGGAGCATTCAGAGAACGAGTGTCCCTAAATTTTAAAATGGGTTCGTGCACGTGGGGACTGCTTTCATCTTACTGGCAAAGACAAACCTCGGCAAACTATCTGCGAAGGCCAAGACGAGATTTTTTATTTTTTTATTGTTGAACTTTATGCTAGTCTAATAATAGAAGAAACGATCCATCACAACGAAGCAAACACGAATTTACATTGGGTCAACAATTTCGATGAATCAGCTGCACATTCATCTCCATTTATTTATGAATGTTTTGAGGCCTAAGGCATAGCAGAGACAGCAATAAGAACGGGCGAAATTCAAGACAACAGTTAATTAGAAATAAAGATAGTTTATTAGACATTGTAATGTTAATGTTACTATGTATTCCTATTGGAATGTACATTTCTTTTAAAGAAATATTATTGTGAGAGTCACCAGTAGTTTGTCCATAACTACTTTTCATTTTTTATCTCCTTAAGTAACGGCGCCCTTCGAAAATTAATTGATTCGCAAAATTTTCCTCTCTAATTTTTGGGACAATAAAATTAGAAAAATAAAAGGGAGGAGGAATATGCCAGGAAATATGGTACTTCATTTTATAATAACAGAGATTAGAGAAAACGACTTAACTGCCAAGTATCTGACCCGCATTGGGCTTCACTGAGAAAGTACAGATTCCAAAACTGCCATGAGAAAGTGGTACTTTCTGTATTTTAATGCCAAAATACCTCTGGTACTTTATGTACTTTGTAAAGTTTGACTTGTTTTCGTATCATAAATTGGCATCAAAACTCCTAACAGACTTGGAACGAATTATCTTTTGGTCTGAACAGAACCTACAAAGGTTTTAATGCACATAATTTTACTCTCTAAATTTTCGGACGATAAAAAAAGGGGGGAGGAAGAATACACGAAGAAATACAGTAAGTATTCAGAGCTTTAACGTCAATTTTTCTTGTTTATTTCTGAAAGGCGGCGATAGTCGTTAGCAGATGTATTGTAAGGATCTTAAGTTTTACTAACGTTTATTTTATTTTAAATCTTTACTATCACTTCTTATTTTCTACTTCCGGCCAGAATTATAAGCGTGAAGGAGTTTATGCAAAGTTGTCTGGCGAACGCCAAGTATTTAAGTGTGGCCTTTTTGCCAAGAGAGAGAGAGGAAGCAGTGAGTTCGAAGCAGGCCGCTTACCTTAGAAGTTACGCAGTTGCTATTTGCCTTCCAGGCCAGAGGTTTTAATCCTCTTGATAAATTAAACGTATTGTAGTGTTCACAGTCTCTGTGCTACATACGCTTCCTGTTATTATAAGGCCAATCTTACACGTGTGTAATTCTAAAGTTAAATTAGAGTTTAGTTTTATTTTTATACCTTTTACGTTAGACCCCGAGTGGAGGGTCATTGTATTCCGAAGTACGGAAGTCATTGTAATAAAAGAAAAATAAAGGGTTTTGTATACCCTTCGTCTGTATCCTGTCTACTTACTACAATTAGTGAACATAGCTTTAGTAAGCTCTCTGTTCTAGTCAGGTCATTGTATGTTTCCGAAGAAGGTTAGAAGAAACATTGAACCTGATAGTATAATATTTAAATTCTTCTGTAACAACCCTGTTCACTTCAGATAAAAAAAGTGAGTACTTCGTCATGTTTTTTTTTTTTTTTTTTTTTTTTTTTTTTTTTTTTGTTAGATAGATTTCAGGTTTGTTTAGGTTATCCTATATTCAAGTAAAATTTTCTTACTTCATCTGCTTTAGTTGTCATAGTCCTTCCAAATATAGATGAGCTGAAGATTCCAGGACATATCATGGTGACGGAAATGCGATCTCTGTTATGCTCCATTCTCACCGATTCGAAATATCCCTGGAAAAGCATTCTGAAGTATATTTTGGAATAAAATAAAAGCTTTTTAAATTAAATTTCTTATAAATATACATTCCTCAAAAGTGAAATTGGAACACCAAGAAAGAATGCTCGTAACGTCATGCAAATTGCGCAGGATCGAGAGTTGTTAGATTGATATGCAAATGATTAAAAGAAAGGTACATAAAATTATTATAACTCAATTTATTCAGTATCTAATGTGCCATCTCGGGCAGCGATACAGGCCGCAATCCGACGCGGTATGCTATCAATGAGTTCATTGATGGTTGCCTGAAGCAGCTTTTGCCAAGCCACATCTGATGATGCATGCAGATCATCCAGGGTTTGCGGTCGTGGTCCTCGGTTAATGTCACGTCCAATGACATCCCACTGGTGTTCGATGGGATTCAGATCTGGAGAGACTGCCGGCCAGAGTAGGATGTCAGATCCAGTCAGGCTGTTAAGAGTACGCCGTGCGACACGTGGCTTAGCATTGTCTTGCTGAAATACTGTGTTGGGTCGTGACCTTCGAGCTGGAGAAGGCCATGACACTTTATAAACATGGCGGAGCTTTCCGTCCGATGTTATCGTCTGAAAGTCATCTGGATTTTTAAATTTTCGTCGGAAATATAACTTTATAATGTTGCTTAGTTAATTAAAATAGCTGAAAGAAAGGAGGCTTTATATGCATTATTTTCTTTAGCTTTTTTGGCTTTTTACAGATGTTTTAATTAACTTTGTGCATAAAATAATTGAGAGAACTGGAGAACAAACGAACGTTTTACAAAAATTTAAACGCTGATTGAAAATTGCCACTGTCATGATAAATTGAGAAGAGGTTCTTAAGATAATAATTAATATTTTACCTAGGCTCAAGTATTAATTTATTCACAAAATATATAACCATCAACTTCTATATCTCCAACGTATGTAAATGAAATACTATATAAACTAGCTAATAAATGTGATAAAAAATATTTCGTACAAGAAACACACCTAAATCTTTAAAAAAAAACAGCCTTCCAACATTCATATTTGAAATGAGATAACCTAACAAACAACATACACAACTGGCAATAAAAAATAATAAAATGCATATAAATGATAATCGCAATTCCCATTATCCTAAAATTTAGAAACTAAAAATATGTAGACCTGCATATGATTGAAAGGAATGGTGTTAAGAAACATCAGTAGTATTACTACTAAATATTGTAATTCCTAATAATTCCTAATTTGTAATCATATACTATTTAAAAAGCATTAAATTTTACATTAAGTGCAAATTGCAGTTCTGTTATTTTTCTCTTGGAATTCGTAATATATCTCTTGGTATGAATACGAGTGTTGCAAGTTATGGTTTTTAACTATTACATTTGAATACATTCTATTTTCATTGTTAATTTTTGTACATGCTTGTGATAGCAATAAAATTCATGATAAATGGGAAAAAACTTTTTATTGTGTGCTATTTAATGAAGAGCAGATTTAAATGTGCATTTCTTATTATTGTGTATATTATTCAAATCATTTCTGCGCAGTATCCAAGGGAAAGTATCCAAAGGAATGTTATTGATTTGAAAAAATGAATAAAATGGCCATGAGAATCTGCCATTGTCTAAAACAAGTGTATATATATATATATATAATATATTTACATATGATTGAAAGAAATGATGTTAAAAATCATCAGCCTTACTACAAATTATTGTACTTTTAACAGCTTGCTATTTAAAAAACACTAAAGGATTTTTTATTAATTGGAAATAGTAGTTCTGTTACTTTGTTCTGGTAGCTTTCAAACACTGCATAGTTTATGCGTTCTTTAATATTGCCACATACACTAAATATACACTATTTTAAAATATTTTTTTAATATTTAAAAATATTGTATGTTGTTTGTTAGGTTATCTCATTTCAAATATGAATATTGGAAGGCTTTTTCGTCATAAGATTTAGGTATGTTTCTTGTACGAAATATTTTTTATCACATTTATTAGCTAGTTTATATAGTATTTCATTTACATACGTTGGAGATATAGAAGTTGATGGTTATATAATTTTGCTTTGAAACACGAATAAATTAATACTTGAGCCTAGGTAAAATATTAATTATTATCTTAAGAATCCCTTCTCAATTTATCATGACAGTGGCAATTTTCAATCAGCGTTTAAATTTTTGTAAAATGTTTGTTTGTTCTCCGGTTCTCTCAATTATATTTATGCACAAATTTAATTAAAATAACTGTAAAAAGTTTAAAAAGCTAAAGAAAATAATGCATATAAAGCCTCCTTTCTTTCAGCTATTTTAATTAAATAAGCAACATGATAAAGTTATATTTCCGACGAAAATTTAAAAATCCAGATGACTTTCAGACGATAACATCGGACGGAAAGCTCCGCCATGTTTATAAAGTGTCATGGCCTTCTCCCTCTCGAAGGTCACTTTTGGGTACGCCCTGCAACCAGGGCAGAAGAACAAACTCTACAACTTGCGTGACGTAGCAATCCGCTGTCAAACTGCCATTAATGTGTATCAGAGGCGTCTTGTCATCAAACATTATACCACCCCAAATCATAATTCCCGGTGCAGGACCTGTGTGACGCTCGGCAAAATGGGCTGTTTCGTAGCGTTCTCCGGGTCGCCGCCGTATCCGTCGACGGGCCGTCATTCCTCCACAGACAGAAACGAGATTCATCCGTGAACAAAACCCGATGCCATTTCATAGTCCACGCACTATGAAGCTGACACTACACCAGGCATGTAGTCTTTTGTTCAGTAGTCAGTGGTACCCCTATGTCTAGTACCCGTAAACGTAAGTGTACTTCATGCAATCTATTGATTATAAGTTTGGGTGAACACAGATACACCTGCTCCTAGAGGCAACCGGCTTCGTATATCACGTGACGTTGAGGAAGGGTCTCTAGTAGTTGACCGACGAATATGCCGGTTTGAGCTGTCTGACGTGCACGTGTGCGCACTACTTCCTCTTCGATGAGATCGTACACCTTCCTGCAATCCATCGTGCAACACAACGTTGAATGGTATTTCACGTTGTGCCCAACACGAGTGGCTATTGTGCGCAGCGACAAACCTAGTTCATGGAGTTCGATAATACGGTCACGTTTCCCCGGTCGTTAACTGAGGGTGTTGAGTCGATTGAGCTCACCGACGTCTCAGAGGCATTTCCTATGCTCTTCTAACGTCTCCAATGCTCCGTAAGCCCTCAGATGCTGTTTAAGGGAAAGTGGCTGACCTTTATAGCCTGCACATGCATACCACGTGATCCAATGCGTACGCAACTTTTATCATTTGCATATCCACCTCACAACTCTCGCTCTTGCAATTTGCATGACGCTACGCGCATTCTTTCTTGCTGTTGCAGTTTCACATTTGAGGTGTGTAATTAGTGTAAAATAAATTAGATTTTATTAGTAACCCAAAAGGGCGCTATCACATATGAGATATTAGTCTTGAAACTGAATATTGAATTGTCCGCTATAAACGGTTTCAAATTGTTGTCACCAAATATTATCGATATTATTTTTAAAGAAATTAAATAATGAAGAATCTACTTGTGCATATGCATGTTCCTAGCATTGTGAAAGAAGACGGTACCTAGAACCATCAAATTTTGAATAACATAGTCCTGTCTCCAAAAATATGCACCTCTAAACCGAATTTTGAATTTCGAATTTTATATTTTATATCTTGTAAAACTTTAATAAATTTCAAATTGTTGACAAACTCAACGATATAAAAGCGAGCAGTGGCAACAATGTACGGAATAAAAGTTTATCTCCAGCACGCGAGACTCTACGGAAATTCTAAAGGTATGCTGCTTTTCAGTAACTTGTGATTTTGCTGCTGAATTGAATGTTATGTGGCGTGGTATTTAATTAATAAAGTTAACACATAAAATGTTAATAAAAAGTTTAACAAGCCATCTTTTTAAGAAGACGGAACATTGATATAATAAACTGAGAAAAGACTGGAAAAAATAGAGAAATGTATGCCAACACTTTAACACTGCATCGGGAATTCTAAACATACGCTGCTTTAAAAATTTTTGTAATTTTGTAGTTGAATAACATAGGGCGTAACTACGAGGAAAGCGATGCTTAGTAATAAAGACAAAAAGAAATGGGTAAGCAAGAGTGAGTGCAACAGCAGACTGGTAGACTGCGAGCCCAGCGAGAGCGTAAAAATATTTAACAAACCTTTTTGAGCGAATATTAAAATCTGAACCTTTTCACTTTTTTTTCCTTAAATGAGGACGATTTTAAAATTAACACTAATCATTCAAGAAGAAATGAATAAAAGGTTTTTCCATTGTGTGTTAGTAGAGGTTTCAATCAAAATTTTATTTTACAAATTTAGTTTTTACGCCATTTTCTGTTGCATGGAAAACTTTTTTTTTCTTTTAATATACTATTTTTTTCTGTATATTAATATTGTATTAAAGGATATATAAGAAAATTCGCCTTCAAGGAGGCCTAATCGGCCGATCTATTCTATTCTAATTTAACCAAAACGTACGGTATTCAACTGCAGGAATAATTAAGCGCATTAAGTCATACTTGAAAAAGCAAAGCCGGGGAAACTGTTGCTGATCCACTCAAATTTTTAAAATAAAGTTGCTGTGGCGGGTAGATGGCTGTTGACTGTTGTTGTGGCAGGCAGAAAGTTGTTGCCTTTATCAAAATCCGCAATGCGGTAAAACAATATAACGAGCATAAAAATAAAAAAAGCCACGGCCTCTCGTGATCAGTAACATAAACTGTAACATTCCCCCCCCCTCGATGAACTCTTGGTTCATCAAAGGTTTGGATTCTGAAATTATCTTAAACACTAAATGTTTTTAATGTTCTACAAGTTTAAATGTTCATAGACGCAGTGTTCGTAGTTTAAGTTCACCGTGCTCAGTTCAAAGTGTTCAAGTTATTTCTAACGGGTACAATAACTACGAAGATGATTTCTATTAGCTAAACGGATAGTGTCAGCCCTTATTTTTCCATCTCGTCCTGGATGACAATCCTGTACCACTCCCATCTTCCATAATAATCTTGGTAGTTTTTCTTCACGCACTAGAACTACAGATCCCTTCAAAAGATCTGTTACGGCATTACCTCTCTGAATTTGCTTTTAACTTATCCATCTTAATAACAATATTCAATCACTAATCGAACAATAACAAATACTGAAATCATAATATATCTAAATATCACTGTTATCTCGGAATTTTGGCACCATTTCATAATTATTGTACCTTTTCTTGCATACCAGTAACAGCTTGGTTAATTTCTGGAGTTTCAAGAGATTCAATGATTATTTTCCCAGGTCCACATATACCTTAACCTTTTTTAGCCTTTTAACTATAGGCTCGGTAGAGCCGAAGGTGTAAATCTGAAGTACTTCTTCCGCACAAAACTTAATTTTAATTGTTTTGATACTTCTACCAGGAGGATTTATGAGAGGCAGAATAGAAAATAAGTCTTTCATTTTTTCTTTTATTCTGACCTAAAGCTATTGTATTTGCAGTTTATAAATAAATCCTATTTATGTTATCTCTTTCCAAAATCGACACTACCCCTGTGTCTGTTTTAAGCTCACCTTTATTTTCTCGTTTATTTTCAAATTTATTATCATGTAAAATGGTATTATGCCTTAATGAACATAAATCGCAGCGTATATCCGAGCTGCAACAGGCTGACGTATGAGCCTTACGAAAACATAAATAACGTCTGCCAGCCATTTTTAATTTCTTTCTTTTTTTTCCTCAATTGGAATTGCGCAATTTGAAGTAGAATGTTTCAAAGGTTCATTTTCTATCTTCCCACAAAATATAGAATCGGCTGTTGATGCATTCGTATTCAACGACGCAACTGCTGGGACAAAATGTTTGTTTTTTAAGGCAGTATGATATTTTTCACTTTGAAAAAAGTCTCGCGATTGATGTTTATGTTGTTCGGTTCTTATGTTAAACTCAAAATAATTTGGCGTATGTTTGGAAAAGTGTACACTCTCTGCTTTCAACTTCTTTTTTCAAAAATTCCAAAATGTTAATCACTGTTTCAAAAATTCCAAAATGTTAGTCACTTCTTTTTTCAAAAATTCCAAAATGTTAGTCACCTGGTCAGGGGTTAGCGATCGATTGAACTCTAAAACTAATTCGCTAGGAAGTATTCTCAATAACAGTGGGCATAACAAATAGCTGTAAGAATTCGAAGTAACATTAATGGAATCAAGGCTTCTAATTTTACTTTCTAAACTATCATATAAGTTACGTAATGTTTTAATATCATTCATTTTTTACTAGCTTTAAATTCAGCAGACGATTCCTATTGTGCATTTATTAAAATTTCCTTTCTACCAAACCTTTCTGTCAAAATATTTATTGCCTTAGCGTAATTTTCGGAAACTAATGGTAATCCCTTTATTGACATTAAAGCTGTGTCAATTAGTAAATATTTGAGGTAATTAAATTTGTCTTCATTCTTTAAAGCAGAGTTATTATGTATAGCTGATTCAGAAATTGTACTACATGGGGTCTGATATATTCAGACAACGCAAAATCCTTCAAAAGAGCAGACAAGGATTTACAAAAACTATGGAATACCATCAAGGACACAGAAGTTCAAAATTATTTTGGTAATAAAGGTATTGAGTGGAAATTCAGTGTGAAGAAGGCGGCCTGGTGGGGCGGTTTCTGGGAAAGGCTTGTTAGATCTATCAAGTCATGTTTGAAGAAAAATACTCATGAAGGTTTTACTTAAATTTGAAGAGCTGGAAACAGTTTTAATTGAAATTCAGGCAATTTTGAATTCACGTCCGCTGACTTATATTTATAGTGAAGTCGGAGAATCAGAACACCTGACACCAGCTTATTTTCTAGTTGGACGAAGATTGACATCTTTACCATCTGGCAAATTTCTTGAACCCGGTTCAACTAAAGAAAATTTAACAAGGCGATATAAATACCGGCTAAGATTATTAGAAGGTTTATGGAAAAGATGGAAAAGGGAATACTTACTTGAAATAAGAAACGTAAAGCAAATTCAGAGAGGTAATGCCGTAACAGAGCTTTTGAAGGGATCTGCAGTTCTAGTACATGGAGAAAAACTGCCAAGATTATTATGGAAGATAGGTGTTGTACAGGAGTGTCATCCAGGACGAGATGGAAAAATAAGGTCTTGCACTATCCGTTTAGCTAATGGAAATCATCTTCGTCGTCCTGTGCAGTTATTGTACCCGTTAGAGATGACCTGAATACAGTGAACTTAAACTACGAACACTGCTTCTATGAACATTTAAACTTGTAGACATTAAAAACATTTAATGTTAAGATAACTTCAGAATCCAAACCTTTGATGAACCAAGAGTTCATCGAGGGTGTTCACCAAGGAGTTCACCAAGAGTTCATCATGTTACAGTTTATGTTACTGACCACGAAAGAGCGTGGCTTTTTTATTTTTCTGCTCGTTATATTGTTTTACCGCATTGCGGATTTTTGATAAAAATGTAGTGGCAACAAAAGTAAAATGATGAACGTTCTAATATAAAAAGTTTTGTTGTATATAGTTGTAAAAAAATAAAGTTTTTTTTTTTTTTTTTTTTTTTTTTTCATACAGAGGTGATTTCGGTAATGAAAGTAATCTTTCGTTTACAAGCGTCGTTAATGATTTTGTTAAAAATATTGTTAGCTGATAACCAGTGAAGGTCGATTTCCTTTGTTTTTCTGCTAGGGTCGAGGCTCGAGTTGAGAACATTTTCTATCCCGGAAAAATGCCAAAAATATCGCATATTCCCAATATTATGTTTAGAGTAAACTTTAAAATGCAATAAAATCTTTTTGAACGGCAAACTTTCAAAGATGATTTCTACCCGACTACTTACTTTCGGAACTCTATATTCAATTCTATTGCTGCACGGACTTCTGGAAGGTTCGGGAAAAATCACTCCTAACGTTTACAAAATCCGCTTTCCCTAATCTTCAAAAAAGTTGTCAGCTTGGAGGAAAAAATGCCAAATATCCCCAGTTTGGTGACAGAAATTTCCTCTAAGGCGCGTCAGGAGTGTTGAGCCTTTTTTCACGATCTACACATTGTTGGACTTAATTGAAAGATCCGCATATCTTTTTAAGAAATAAATACTTATATGCAAAACATGTGGCCACAAATTCACTTGCATACAAAATTAACTCAAAAACTCTTACCCTAAATGTAAAAATTAGATAAATAAATTAACATAAAAATACATAATATCACGAAAATACCCCCCCCCCCCCCCCCCAAAAAAAAAAACAACAATGCGATCAAAAGGATTTAAACATTTGCAGAAATTTACAACAATAATATGCCTATATTTTTATATATTAAAATGAATGATATATTATCAAAATGAACGTACATTTCATGTTTATAAGTGAAACGATGTTTTAAAATTTTTCATCTTTTCAATAAATTCTGTTAACAATAAGAATTTTTAACATGTCATAACATTAATTCTATTAGGAAAAACATACCTGCAGTGCGTGTTTAGTAGCAGCATACGATGCCGTTGACGGAATGCCTACATTATGATAAAATTAAATGTTATTTTTAGTAGAACTCATATACATTAAATACGATAATTAATCATATGAATATAACATTCACAAAAAGAGCAAGATAAATTGATTTTATGTTAATTTCAAACCTCTGAATATATCAAGTACTTCATTAAAAAGAAAAGCCTACATACAAGCCCCAAAATCGAGTGCGTAAGACGCCACTTAAATAAACTCAACGAAAAATTCTACAATAAAAAGGGCCTTAAATAATCATGCAGCATACTTTGCTGACCTTCTAAATTATTAGATCTTTAGAAGATGACTACTCTGCCCGGCCATTTTTACGGCCCATACTCTTGCTTAATAAATTCAATTTCCCCCACGCCAAGCCTTATTTACGGGAACTCCATCTCCTTTCCGACGACATACCAGTTCAGCTGAATAGCGCGCTTCGCCATGGATCAGAAAATCGAGGGTGCAAAATTTTATTTCTGCACTTTATTGGCAAAATTAATTTTTTTCGTCACTCAACTCATTTTTAGACCCATTTCCGAATTTTTTCCACTTAAGATAATCACTCAAAAATTTATCGAGATGAAGAACAGCCGTAGAAATCTGCTCCCACATTTGCGGTGGGGCGGTTTCGGGGAAAGGCTTGTTAGATCTATCAAGTCATGTTTGAAGAAAATACTCGATTTTAATGAAGAAATCATAGATTCTTCTCGCTAGCAGGTTACACGCTACGAGATATCTCTCAGGCAATTTTCATCACCAGGCCCACTGCGGAATTAATTCAGGTTAACAGAAAAGTACTGCTACTGCCCTAGAAATCCTGAATTCTTACATTCGTATCAAAGTATGAATATATATCATTGTCGCACACACAAAAAAAAGTGCACATAGATTCTTTTAATAAAAAAGTATGCGATTTTATGAATTTCTGTATTCATTATGTAATCATGCATTATAAAATGCTGCTGAAATACAAGTCTTTTTAATAACCTCGTTTTTTAATCATTTCAACCATTTTTAATAACCTCGTACTCTCTTTATAAGAATTTTATAATTAATTTGCTTCACCCTCTTTTATGTGTATAAATGGCGCTAAATGCTTGTTTACCTACAATTAAGGTTGTTTACATTTACACTGCTTGTATTTATGCTGTTGTTTTTGTTCTAAATTACCGGCCAAGTACAGTTTAATACGTTCGTTCATAAAGGCCAATAGCTACTGGTCATTCAGCAGTCCCATCAACGAAGATATTGCCAAGCATGCGACCGAATTATACTCACGAGAAGTTCCATCATAGTTTTAATGGAAAGCATCTCGAGGGACAGATCCTAGGATTCAAATACCGGAGAATGCTTGGATGATTGTAAGTATATAGTATGCGGTCACTTAAAATACTGACGACCCGAAAATCCTCTCAAGATGTTTGCTGGTGGGAAGATAGATCTAGAAACATCCTCGGATATTGATGGAGAGTAGTTTTGGACCAGTCAACCCAGGGCTTTGGATCAGTCCCCTCTATCAAAACTGGGAGAAAGTTCCCTTTTCTCATGGGTGAAATCGGTCGCTCACAGTGGTGCATCTTGAGCAACGTTTTGGCTTATAAGGCGAGTACTAGCCATTCTCCACAAGAGCGTTAAGTTCGTATATAAAAATTGTTTCTAGGCTTTTAAAATTCTCGTTAAACTAAGTTTTAAACGTAGAAAATTGGTGAAGATATTAATAAAATTTACGTAATTAAGCTGAAGAAAAAATAATATACTTGGTTTTAAAAGATTAAATCTTTAAAAGAAAATGCAGATGCTATTAATAAAAGAAAAGCATTTACACAATCTGAACATTTCGAATTTGGACGTTATATTCGTGAAGTTAAGTAGTAACTGAAACTTGAATGTAAACTGTACTTTCAGTGATGTATATATACTACTCAAACTTCAAAACAGGATTTACTGAAAACCATTCATAGTATTATCCAGGATCTAACGATAAACAAAAATAAGGCACTTTAAAGAAAAGAACAACTAGGAAAAACCACAAATAAATAACTAAAATAAATATAAAATAAATTTAAGATTTTTTAAGCATGCCATTTGTCAACAGCTTGATTTATTTTATTTTTGCACATTCTAGAGCAACTGTTTTAAATATGAGGCTATAAAATTTAATTTAGGAAGACAATTTAGAAAGCCCTGGTTGAAGGGTGATTTGAAAGCTGACTTGTTCTTGTCACGAGCCATCAAGCTCATAAAGAACTAAATGTCTCACTTCTAGAGTTAAGGTAATTATCCATCCATGATAAAATTTAAGATGTTTTCCTGATTGAAAACTGAGGTAGATAGACTACGTGAAAATCTGATATAGCTCTGTTCTAGCCATTGACTGATTTAAATTGATCTTAATCCCCTTTCAGATGCATTTTTAGAGGACAGAGGATTAACAAATCAAATAAGGACAATTTAGCTACTCAATTTCTGCATGATTATCCTGGCATTTGAAGGATAGAAGTTACTGAAACGATTCGCCTTAGCTTCACATTTCAGCTGTAGTATTAAGATCCAAATAAACACTTACTAACTTAAATACTTTCTTAGAAGTACAAATAATAGCAGCAAATTTTCTATTTGTATGGTTTTGACATAAAAGATCCTCAACTTAATTATTACTCGTCAAGTACGCGAATCTGAAAACAATGAAATGTCTTACTCTTCACATGTCTTAATCATGGCTGTTATGTACGATAACTTTGGTATAAATCACACAGCTCTAGCAGATGAAAATCTTTTGATCTCTGCTTATACGTTAACTTATGCCTTTAACTTATAGTTTGGATTAATTAACGTCTGAGTTATAATGATAGTAGTTGAAATATCAAGTAGCGTTGTAGTAATAGCCTTGCCCGGGATTTACGTAGAGAGAAGAGGATTTATTTATAGGTATAGGGGTAGTTTTTTGGAAATCTCAGGGAAGCAGAAATTTTTCTTTTATTTTGTTCAAGATGAATTATGCAAAATTTTACCAAGATCGAATAAAACTGTAGAATAAAAATTCGAACATGTAACGGTTTTAGTAAGAATTGTTAGTTACTTTATTGTCGGTTATGCCTGTTTTCTGAAAATCCCATCCATTCCGGCTGATTTCTCCAACGTTTACGAAATATTCTAGAAAATCTGAAAGAGAGCGCACTTATATTCTTTGTTGTACCCTCTTCTGGAGAATTCTGCAATGTAACACTAAACGAACATGGAACCATCTAATTAAACAGTAAACAAACATGGCACCATCTAAGTATTTTAGTACCTTTGATAGCGGGCATGTAACAATGGCGACATTAACCTAAGATAGATGATATGATCACCAAACTGTTACTTTTTGTAAAAAAAGGGGGAAGGAAAAGCAAAAGAAAAAGAAATATTTTACATTCTTCGCTTAGCATATATGACTTCCACTAACAGCGCGAATGTAACAACGGAGACGTGAATCTAAGATGAGTAACACGAGCGCAAAATTTAATATAAAGGCCCTGAGTTTGGACCCCATGGGACGGTTTTTAGAAATTTTGTGTAGATTCCCCTTGTTTAAAATTTCTTTAAAATCGGAATAAAATTGCGCAAAATTTCTTTAAAATCGGAATAAAATTGCAGCTTTGTATGCGCACAAACAAACGGACACTCTTCATCATATATATAGCTGCTTTTGATGAATCCAACTAGTGTAATGTCACGGATTCAGTGAGTAATGAATAATAATCTGTGTTTTCCGCTTTTAAATCGCTTAGTTTAGATTAAATTTGAAACGCAAATACTGTAACCTACGCTTTGCAAAGTGATAGCACAAAGCTTTAGTTGGTGATCCACTTTATGCTACAGATACCGCGTTATATTATAAATAAGCATTGCATGACGTACAAAATGGAATATATCGATTGTCATGGATACTAAATGATATTTGTATCATCAACTGTAACTTTACATAAATGCAAATATATCAGGTTCAGATGTGGCAGCTTTTTATTTTTAATTTAATAAAAATTACTGCTAATATAATTTTGTTAATATTAGAACATTTGCTTGCAAGGAATTTAAATTAATATTCAGAGAACAGTAATTTTTCTCTTGAAAATCAAATTATAATAATAATAATACATGATGTCTATGAAAGAAGTATATTGCTTTCTAAAGAAGTATATTTCGTTAGAAAACTGTGATACAGGGTAATTTAATTAGTTTTTAAAATGAATTACAGCAGTCAAAGTTTTTTTTTTTGAATATTTTATTTGTCTTCACGTATGCCACTTTTAGAGAAGGAATAAACGATAATCTATAGTTCCATAGATATATTTCGATTACAAGTGTAGGAAGATTACGCGATTTTTTTAAATAGCGTTTTTAGCAAAGCCAAAGGGGAAAGGAAGAGTAGACTCCTAACAAGAAATGGTACCAAATACTAAGTCCAGTCCAATGCTCTAAGAATTGTTAATCTGTGCAAGTGACTGAATGACCAAAGGGAGGCCCACGAGTTCTTAAATCTACCGCGAGACCCACAGATCTGAATTACTAAACTCACAAAACTTGAATCTAGGGTCTCAAGTTTTAAAAAGACCTGAAATCTAATCCCATAACTTCTCATTTCATTCCTACTTTTCCCTCTTAAAGAAAGTTAAACAGACATTTCAGACCAAAAAGAAATGTTATATGTAGAGTTCCAAACCTACATCATCAGTCCTTGGAAGGAACAATGTCTGATGGAAAACAATCTATGGAATGTCTTGGAGTAGTGGAATTATAAATTGCTTCCATATATCCAGATATTTTGTGCAAGGAACAGTTATTTTAATAAAGAAATTATTTGTTTGATATTTCTGATTCAGTGCTTTGGGTCCATTATCAAACTCCGTGAACGTTTACAATTACCACTTCCGTCTGATAGAAAAAGTGAGTTGTTAAAACTCAGCACTTTCTTGCAAATACTCTGTGGAATTGTACTTCTTTTCTAGACATCCTGAATAGCAAATTATTATTGTAAATAGACACAGATGATACCATATTTTCCTGCAATACTGGAAATTACGACAATGCGTCCTCCACCATTCTGCAGAAAATGCTTTAGAAGGAGTTTTGTAAGAGATACCGTTCCAAAGAAATTGACATCAAAGATAGCTTTGTCCACTTCGATATCGGTTTCAATGATCTCTCCAATCTGATATCTAGCCGCATTGTTAATGAGAACATCTATCTGAAAATAAAAGAAGAAAGAATTACAAAAATACTTTTTAATTTATTTGGAATCCTATTTTCTCTCTTATGGTTACAAAGACGCAAACGAAACCATTATTAATAATCAAGAGGAATACCTGCACTTCAGGCATTAAGCAATTAGTTCTTTATTATTATTCCAAGAAAAAATAAAATGGGAAGTAAATTAATTATAAAAATAATTTTAACAATTTTCTTTCAGGCATATTATTTCTTATCATCTCAGAGAATATTTCCTTTGGAAAAGATAAATGACAATTCGTTTTCTCTATTAATGCAGGCCCTATACCGCTTTAGATGAAGAGTGTTAAACATTTCTTCTCTTTTTAAAATGATACTGTTTTGAAGGTCCTGAATTTATAAAGAAAACGAATTTTCATGGAGACAAAAATGAAACATAAAAATTTTCCTTTTAAAAAAAAAAAGACTAAAATGTTGTTTAGCGTTTCTTTTGTTTAATAAACATTATTAAATATGACTTTAATTGTGAAAGAACCCACTAATTGAATGCATTTTAATAGGTATTTTGACTGTCTACGAAGTGTAGAGCAACAGAGAAAAAATATGTGAGTCTAAACTTGCAGCTAAAAATGCTGTTGCATTTTAAGTCTTTCGCATCAACCAAATCAGATAACAAACCTTGGCGTTTGAATAAGGCATAAAAGCTGTATACCCGACGGATATAAACTGTTCTTAGTCAGCTTAATTGCCATCATTATTTTCTTCAGTCACCATTTCGTGCCATATATCCTCAGCACTTCTTAATTCATCTGCTGGGATCATTAACATGGACAAAATCTTGATCTAGTATTTAGTACTGAATCATGATTTTCCTTCTTTAGTGTGTGTTCTCATAAAATGATTTTTTCATTCTTCGGAAAAAAAAAACCGCTTTCTTGAAACAATTATACATTGTTTGGACCATGACTGTTTATCACCGGAAGAAGACAGTGTGTGTTTCGTATCCAGGATTAAAACAAAACTGCTATATACATATATATTTTTAAATCTGAAAACAACAGAAAATTTTTGTTATAGTGTATCTGTAGTGATCGTATAATCTCAAACTACTCATCTAGTAGTTTAAATCTCCTAATAGTCTTTTAGGGAAAAATGGCAACATATGAGAATTAATATATTGCGAAATACTATGGAGGTACACCACACTGATTTGTAAAACAAAGGAGTTTCCTCCCCCTGTGCCTATCATTTTGAATTTTTAGATGCTGGTCATGCGTTTTTGTTATTTGCATAAAACCATTGCATTTCTGTGAGTTTTTGAAGCAAATGATTTTCAATGATTTTCTAATAACTAGAAGTTAAAATGTCTCACTTCCACCAGTGCTAAAGCATAAAAGAGCACAGTTAGTCTTTCTGTAGACCGTTACCCAAAATCACAAATATCCCTCTTGAAAAATGTAATACCTTACTAAGCAAGGTACCTTGCTATGCAATTTAATAAATAAATTTGTTCCAGCATATCTGTAAGTATCAGCAGCCTGATTAAACTTATTTTTCTTAAAGGTTATTTTTTATCGACGGACCAGCTTCACTGCTTCGTTTTTTAATTATTTTATTTAGAAAAACATCATATACAAATATTTACAGTGAAGCAAAATACAATTTATTGTGAGCTTTGGTTACAAGTAATTGCTCACGTCAGACCGGTTAGATTTCTTCTTCAAGTCTGTTGCCTCAATCGTAGGAGGCGATAATTTGGCGAGATTCGTTGGCGTAAAATGCGCCAACATCCCGCCCGGCCTTACTATGTTCACATGCAAGAACTTAACATAAATTTAATTATGAAATACTAATGTTAAAGTTTCAGTTATTCAAATCTGCTGCCTCCTATGATTGAGGCAGCAGACTTGAAGGAGAAATCTAACCGGTCTGACGTGAGCTTCGGTTACAAGTAATTGCTCACGTCAGAACGGTTAGATTTCTCCTTCTTTGTGCGTAGCACGCACTTCGTAGTTCCAACATTTGACGAGTTTATTAGATTTTTGGAACAGCGTGAATCAGTTTCGTTATCTATAAATAGAAAGAAATTCCAAAAGATTTTTAGTATCCATAGTTAAACAATCTTCGTGTGTCTTCCAAGCAAGTCCCAAGATTTATTTTGGTTGTGAGCCAAGCTGAGAGTGCGTCCTGCAGATAGTATCGAATTCTTCATTCTTCCATTGCTCATTAATTCAGCATTATAGCTAATCCCTTCCTGAGGACCATTCCAGCCTCTTCCATAATTTTCTGGCATTTTTGGATACTTCAAGTGTTCTTCTTTCTTCGAAATCCTCGGTTTCAGAAATGAAATCATGTCTACATAAAACACTGGTCTAAAATTTCACTGTTTTCGGGAAAAATCTTCCTTGTATTTGTTTTAATATGATGTCTAATAGTAGCTGCTAACAGGAATGGGCTCGAACTGACCCTGAAATACTCGATTGAAACGGTAAGTTGTAAATTGGGCCTTTTATCAAACACTTGGATCATCACTACTCCAAAGAAAACGAACTGCATCCTTATGTTCATCGGAGAGGCAGATCTGCAGAAAAGCTTGTTTAACATCTTCCGAAGTCTCAAATTTCTCATTCTGAAATCTAGATCGTTTCTGTGAATACGTTCTAGTCATTCTAGTATTTTCTATTGGAATCTTATTTTTCGAGATTTCTTTCAGAGTTCATTTTATAAGGTATTTTCTCACTCCTCTCCGCATCTCTTTGTGGTGTAACGGTAGTACGATCGGTGCGTATTCGAAAGGTCCAGGTTTGAATCCCGGAGAGGGCTCATTTTTCGTACCTCCTTCTTAAAATAACCTAATGACTCTACAGTTGCGCCCGAACTAAAAGAGGGTGGATGATAATTTTTCACCACCAGAATTTGAACTGGGTCACCTAATCCCCAGTCGCCTTTTAAAAGGGGGAGTATATAAAATATTTTCATCTCCTTTCTGCATTCCTTCGTGATGTAATGGTAACACACTCGGCGCGTATTCGAGAGGTCCAGGTTCGAGTCGCGGTGAAGGCACTGCACATTTTCTGTATTAAAAATAACCTAATGGCTCTGCAATTCTGGCAATTAGAAACTTTTGCAAAAGATGTTATTTTTGAAGCCATTAGAGCCTTTCCTGTTGTGCAAATGATTTCCGTTTTAAACAAGATTAATAAAATTTCTCTTTTATTCAGATTTCTAAAATCTTAAATTTAGAAACATTAAAATTTAAGAAAAAGTTTTCTGTACATTACATTTAACACATGTGCATTCTCCGATTAGCAGCGCAAGAAATATTTGGAAAATGATTATAGGTATTGCATTCAACATGTTGAGAAAGAGAGGTGGACAAATTAAGCAATGGATTAACTGAAAGCTGAGTGGTTTTGAAAGAACTTGTTATAAAATCAATTTTTTGGCATTGTACAAAAACAGTGTAAAGTATAAAAATATATAGTACATAAATATTCTTTTTATCTAAGCCAAGCTCAAAGAAAACATTTTTGCAACGCATAACTAAGAGTATGTTCTAAAATGTATGATATAAAATGTGAAAAACCTAAGCATTGTTTTCCAGTTTCTCACAACGGGAGCTTGAAAAATCATCATGTAAGCGAAATAGTCGTACAAAACACAAGCATGTAACTGACAGTTTACTGTATTTGATTTTGCGTGTGGGTTTATGGAAAGTTGTTGATATAATGTTATTTTTAAAAAAAGATTTTAAAAAAGTGCTACATAATTGTTACTTTCAGTTTTACAAAATTTAGGCTGCTCTTAAAGCAAGGGTAAGCCAACAAAGGGTAAGGCTGTTAAATCTTCCACATGCTTTTATATTTTGGTTTGAAGTAGTATGATATAATTTCTCTGTAAGTTCATTTGCATATTTCGCTAATAATTTTCCTTACAGTTAGAATAACGAGGCAGAACATTTTGCAGAAAAGTAATTGTTCCACAAAATATTCGATTTTTGAGAAGATACCCATCTTTAAAATAAGTCAAATGTGAGTTCTTTACAGCGAATCTAGTTTTTACTGTTTCTGAATGAGAGGCATTTTGCAATACAAAAACCTATCAAATCGGCATAGCATATAGTTGCCTATAAACCAATCAAATAGATCTTGCATAAGTAAAAAAAATCTCATTAAATAGGTATAGTTTACATAGCATATTCTACGCAAATTTTACCATTATTTTGACTAAATGTTATTAGTAGCTTATATATCGTTTACTCAAAACATCTGATAATTAACTTGTAACCTCACTTTAGTTACAATTTTAGTGAGTTTGTAGAGACATTAGGAATTTTTTTTTTTTTTTTTTTTTTTTTTTTTTTTTTTGGAAGCCAGCAAGATGAAAAATATGCAACCGCCTTCGCCGGGAATCGAACCACGGACCTCTGGAATACCGGCCCAACGTGCAGAACCACTACACCACGAAGGACGCTAGGAAAGTGGAAGAAATACCTTATATACTCCCCTTTTTAAAGGGCGACTAGGGTTTTAGGGTACCTAGTCGCCAAATCCTGGGTGTGGAGAACCATCATCCACAACACTTTTAGTTCGGGCGCCACTTGTAGAGACATTAGGATTTTTTTAGAAGCCAGCGAGATGAAAAATATGCAACCGCCTTCACCGGGAATCGAACCCAGGACCTATGGAATACCGGCCCAGTGTCCAGAACCACTACACCACGAAGGACGCTAGGAAAGTGGGAGAAATACCTTATAGGTTTTCCAGTTATTCATGCATATTCGTGAGTTACTAAACATGGATAAATCACGAGTTAGCTGTACAATACAAGTCTGTTGGATAAAAAATTTTGTATGCAATGAATGGTTAGAAAACTGTCATATCATTCTTTTCTGGTAAAAAAAATGCAATAAATGCTATAAGTGTAATTCATTTCATTGGACAGGGAACAAAATAAATGAGTTAGGGAAAAAAGAAGGAATTGTATATGTTTCTAATTTTTATTTTTTTATTTTAAGATATTTAAACTCTTTGTGCATACTGATGCGCCATTAATATATTTGCACATAGTAAATTTATACAATCTTTAATAATTATCTTAGCTCAGTTTATCAAGCAACTGTACATTATGGTTATTCAGAATGAACGAATGCTTTGTAAATTCTAGAGATAAGATTACTGTGTTTACTTTGTATTATTTCTCATACACGCAAAAATATCTAATGAACAATAAAACTCACTTTTCCAAAATGATTTACTGCTTTCTCTACATTTTCTTTATGGCACTCCAGGCGTGATAAATCAAAAGGTAAAACTAAAATATCTTTTTTCTCTAATTGTCCTTGAGATAATTCTAAAGAAATTAAAAGAGAAACTATGTTCAAATGTAAATTAAAACAAATAATTTCAATTTTTGCTTTATGGCAAATTATTTAATAATTTGATATAATTCCTAAATATAGTGCTACTGAAAATAATAATTAAAAACTTTGAAAACATTTTAAGAAACATACCTTTTCTACAGAATGAAATCTTTAGTAATAATTTAAATACGTTTTTGTGGTAGACAGCACGAATGATCATTTAAACACTGATAGCATTGCAAAGCAGAAAGTTTTGACTAATTGTAATCTAATACATTGTAAATATAGACTAAATTATCAGTGTATCGAAAAAGACGACCTATCCATAAAAGTTTTTATTTGGGATTTAAAGCCAAATGATGTAGCAGCTAACACATAAAGCTGTTGCAAACAAGATGCTCGATGAAATATACTGGAAAAATTAATTAAGATTGATATTATACTTTGGAGTGCTTTAGTCGATTTATTAAACACTATCGTATCCTAAAGTATGAAACCGACAGCTTGAAGTATTTATTGAATATGATATATATAGAACATTTTCGAATTCTTTGAACACAAAATTACAGTTGTGGACACTGTTAATTAAACAGCTTTAGAAGAAACTTGACCTCGCAGTAAGCAACAGTTGCCTCTGGATAGTAACTAAGAGGAAAATTGTTTCCAGTAAAAAAACTAAGATTCCACAGCTGTTTCATTTGCAGTTGCTTGGCTTCTTGAATCACGTACAGCTAGTATAGATGCATTTTAGCTTCAAACTATTGTAATTAATGGAAGCATTTGGCTTCCATTAATTAAAATAGTTTGCCCTAATGGCTGCAAGAAATCCTATTCTGACTATTTCAGGATTGCTTTTAAAACATATTACTAAACAGTGGAATTTAATTATAGAAAAAGAGATTAATATTTCTCTATTATATAAAGATAATATTATATTTCAAACCTTTGAATTATAATTATTTTTCAGCTTTGCTCTAGGCCACTTCTGGTTTTAGTTTCACACTATTCATCCTCGTTCATTTTAGTCACATCAGTTTTAATCAGTCACTTTAGTGGGCTAGCAGCATTTTGATAATTAGTTGAGGGAAAAACAATAAAAAAGTGACTTCAAAGATAGAAAGTGCAACGTGATATTCGAAAACCGATGCAAATTGACATGATAAATTAGCCTATCATCTGAATAGTTACAGCTGTGTGCACTTATAAGCGCAATTTGCCTATCAATTTCTGGAGAACAAGAATATTTAATCACTCCTTCTCTTTCTAGTTTAAAAAAGTTACTGTTGCTGCCTTTAATTGTGTTTTCTCCAAACTTAGCGATCTTGTATTTCGAATTCAAACGTCGCCAACTGGGCGCGAAAAGCTGGGATAAAAGTGGGACTTTGTTTTATTGCTGGCACTAAATAGCAAACTGCTGTTATTCCTTAAAGTATTTCAATAAATTATTTATTGTCCCTTTAAAATCTAAAATTGGCTCATTTTGCGACCATGTTGTGACTTGAGAGAATTTGAAGTACATCAATCTTGAAAGGGAATTCCTGCTTTATCTGTTAGAGCCATAGGATTTGTAAATTGGAATTTCTGTAAGTCTTTTTCTTTTTTTTTTTTTTTTTTTTTTTTCTTTTCTTTTTTGATTAATATCCGCAATATTTTCAGTTCCAATTTCTTCGTTCTCCATTAATAAATTGATTACGCTTATTTTAATAGCGCCAATTTTTCTCTATTTAGGAAGTCGTAAAGAAAGTGTGATGGACTTCTTGTGAACACTTAAATCACTGCGTATGTGGACTCGTATAATAAGACAGAAAAATAGAAAATGTTTTCAGCCAATTTCTGTTTCGATGATTTAATTCACTCAACGCCTGTTAATAAATATGATGATTTTGTTTCAAATTCAAACATTTTTAACATTAAATTTAATCATTCCATTGCTCAAAATCTAATGTAGAAGTCGTATTTCTTCTTGAAAATTTCAAAATTTATTTTCCTCTTTGAAATGTGTGGACAAACAAACTTGCATTTTAAGTTCCTTTAGAGATAAATTAATTACCTCTCATTATTATAAATCAGGAAGGAATTAGTTAATTGTTAATTATAGAGTAATTAGTCCAGTAAAAAACTGATTTTCTGAACGGTAATTTTTATAAGAATATGTACCCGAAGACTAGGAAGGAAGTTTTTGAAATCAAATGGAAAAAATAATTTTATGATACCCTAATTAGATCATTAACTATCATGCTTATGAGCTTTAATCGAACCTAAATATTTTAAAATTCAAAGACTTCAAAATGACAGAAACATACCTATACAATCTTCCTTTACTTTCTGCAACAAATCTTCACTTCTAGCTGTTAAAATTAATTTCGCACCTACACTAGCCAGCTCGTATGCCATCGCTTCTCCCAAACCACTTGAAGCACCTGTAACCCATACCACCTTTCTTTTGAAGTCCCCTGAAAAATTGTAAAAATTATCAATGAGCTTTAAAAATAAACTAAGGCATAAAAAATACTAGCAGTCTGACTAATTCCAACTTACCCACCAAACAGCGCACTTGCAGTGTGAAACGAAAGATTCCATCAAACAATCCAATCTATATTTTAAAAATAATTCGGAATATCTGCAGTGAACTTTGTTGCATAAACGATATATTTATACTAAATAAGAATTATTAAGATTCCGAGCACCATACCAAATTCTTTAAAAGGGTAACGGTTTTCACTCTCCTTTAAGTTATTACCAAATAATTTTTCCTCCCCAAAAGTGTAACTAAATCTACACATTTTTGTACAAATCAAGTTCCCACATCTGATAAATTTGCTTTTTAATTCCTTGTAGAAAGTAAAAGAAGTATTGTAATCGCGAAAAACTTCGGATATCATATTTCAACAGAAATATCCATTTTGATTGGTCTCGAATCCTTTTGGACAATTTTTAAGTGACTTTTGTACGTACGGACAGAATAAAGGGCTCGTTTTTGGAAAATGGATTTAACATAGATTCCAAAGGTGTTTTTTCGTGACCCCTGTACGTACGTACGTATGTATGTAAGTGTCTCGTGAAGATCAAAAGCGATTAGCAGTAGTACGTTGAAATTTTGTATGTGGGACTGCCATAACATGTAGTTGTGCATCTCCTATTTTTAATGCAATCGGTGGAACCGAAAGTACATACCCGGCTTAAAATCCCTTACCCAGCATTCCTTTCCGCAATCATTGGTCGCAGTCATATACTTCCAGTTACAGAAGTGTTTTAAATGACGAAAATATTCATGCTTTGGCAATATCAGATTTTCACAAAAGTTTAATTTTCGACGAATAATGAAATGTAACTTTTAATGTGGTCTCTCGCTTCCTATACTTATGTTTGGGAAAGTTTTATCCTCGTTGTGAACAAATAAAATTAGAGGAAGTTTGATTGCCATACGACAAATATTGACCAGGATATTTAAATTCGAAATCTTTCATTTTTATGCCAATTTCATTTTTAACTTGTCCTGAGAGATCGTTTAATTAAGTTAGAATAATTCGAGGAAATAATTTAAAATGAAGTGCAGCAAAAAATGTTCATAATTTAACAGGCGGTACAAAGAAGTCATGAGGTGTCCATATCCTTTTTTTCTATTATTGTAGAAGCTAAATAGAAGAATATTAAACAGAACTAATAAGCAGAGTTTAGTATATTTTTAATAAAACTAAAATTTTAAAACTGCCCGGTAATATAATAAAAAATACTTTTATATTATAGAAAATCTTCTATTTTTAATCGTAATTTAAATATTTAAATTGCGTTAAACTCATTAAAAGTTATACTTCAGTACAATACTTATGTACAGTATTTAATTATTCGCGCTTAAAATTGAAATAAATGAGCATTATAATAAACTCTTTTAAATTAGCTCAAGTTTTCTTTATTTCGAATATTTCAGTTAAGATAATTATTAGGAACTAAATTTAAGAATTTTTATTAACATATAAATTTATGCATTTAGGATTGCAATAGTGACATCCTACTACTATTTATTTGAATTTCGATAAAGATGCATTTCATTTCTATAAATTAAAACTTGCATATTTTTTAAAAATTTGTTAATCTTAATAAATAAATAAAAATAGTTTAAATTATCCTAATACGATTCCTAAATGCTTTCCTGCTGATAACATAAACCTGAAGATACATAAATCAACGTCATGAAACTTCATATTGCAAGTGTTATAGTGTATATTAATACCGGTAAATAACTATACACATTTTGGTTCTCAAAGTCAATTTTATTTCTTTACTTCTGCAATTAAATTGTAGTTTTTCTGTTACGTTAAAATGAGCACGTAAATAGCGCAATGACCGTTGCCTCATTCGTAACGTGAATTTTTATCGTCGTTTACAGGGGCTTAAGGAATTTAAGCAATTATGAAAGTTGCTCAGCTTCCTCAGCAGATATTACCATGGTTACGAGGGAATGCAGAAAAAGAGAGGACTTTGAATCACTTATTCTAAAATAAAAAAAATTTATAATAATAGTTGTGGGGATAATAGTATAAATAATGAGTATAAACAATTTTTTCACCAAATGTATTTCCTGCCTAGCTAATAAATCAAGCTTATATGAATTCAAATCTGCCACGAGATAACTGCAATTTTTCATGTTAACAAAACTGGCTGTTTTGAAGAAGAATATATATATATATATATATAAAACAACGTTAGACATTTTTTTCTCACATGATTGCTTACTTTCCTAACTATTATAAAAGGTTAAATTGATTGATTAAAGCAAAGCAGTTCGAGAGCTATCTACTTATGGAAAGAGGATGTCTTTATCGATTTCTAAAATAAACAGGTTCTTATCCTGGAGAAAACCACGACATTAGGCTAACTATGAAAGGAAAGAGAAGACACAAGTACTTGGATGGTACAATTGGTTACTTGGTTATTTATAATTAATTACTTAGCACAAATTAATACTTAAATAGCATTAATTTCTACACTATCAGTACATAATTTCACAAACCCAATTTTGTAAACTTTCTGATAGGCAAATCCTTTCATTCTCTTTCTTTTAGTAGCAAATAGAAATGCAGCCTTAGTTTAAAAACATCAGATGTGTGGCAATTTCTGTTTCATACGCGGCATTTCAAATTTCTCACTTTTTTATGCAATGAAAACTGCGCAGTCACTCAGCAAATCAACTGTCGTTTTATTCATAATAAGAAGAAGTATTCAGTATTGTACAATACGCTGGTTTAAAAACACTATAACAGAAAAAGATTGGTTCTATCTGATATCATTAAAACAAGAAAACTATTAGTGTATATAACAAAATGCAATAACTGTATCTAAAGTTAATAAATCCAGTGTGGCGGAGAGATATATCGCTTTTAAATAATCTAACATTAAAGGCTTAGATACAACCTCAGTATTCGCTTTTCTATAAATTCTCTTTTCTAAAATGCAAATATGCATTCACAGCGATTTAAAGTAAAATATTATTGCAAGCCGCTTGACTGTTGTGGCCAAAGGTGTCCTGAAAGTCTCATGAACACAAGAACACAGCAAAAAAATGTAATAGTGACGGCAACATTGCGTTTAAATTATGCTCACTGTGTTTGCTCTCCAAAGACAATTTAGTTTAAGCATTCGATGATCAAAAGCTGTACGAAATTTGGAGTTATTGGCTCCCTGCTGAATACTGAACATTACGAAACCCGATAGGATGAACAGAAAATTGATAATACTAACAGAAATCACTTATTTGCATTCATGGATTCACTTCATCTTCCTTCAGACGCTCATTTTTTAGGTAAGTTCTAATTCCTTTATATTGTAGTAAAACATTTCAGAGTCATTTTTTTTCTTGCATGAGAAGCTTCCGTGAAAGATTTTTAAGCTAAACCGATCGATTTTTATTTATGATCCGTTTTCCTACTAAGACTGTGCCCACCAGTGCCCAAGGAGTAAAGTCGCTGAACACTGTTAGTTCGTCCAAGATTTGAATCCCGGCGAACGGGCTGGCTACATGAGAGTTTTCGTGGTTTTCCCTTATGTGTGACAGTCATGCGAGTCGGTCTCTTAAGTCTTCTACGAAGGTATCCACCCCCTAGGCAGATAGTTTTCGAGTGCTTTGCCATACTTAAATAAACCGAACCAAACCTACTGAATCTGTAACTTGACTTCCAGCATGCACAGGTTGAAAATGAATACGACATAAGTAGAAAAAATAGTGCACTGATATGTTTCCTCATAACAATCAGTCCAATACACTTTCTTGAATACTTTAGGCACAGCATAATTTTGACTTAAAAATGAAGATCTTTATCTTCTACCCATTTCACATCATCGCTTCAAAATTATTACTACAACTAAGCCGTTAAGTCAGAACCAGTACGTTACTTTTCCATTTAATAAAATAAAAATGTGATTGGTTCTTAAGAGCAAAATTCATTTATCCACCATTCGTGTACCAAGTGCGATCCAGTGAGTTCCCTTCTTCAGCATGTACCTTGCTGTCTCATTTCTCATCAATAAATATCAGAAACTTATGTCAGAAAATGGGATATAACGAGCGTGCGTCTCACCTTATATATCCATTAATATCCTACACCTTATGTCCAGGCTATAATTATCTTCTCATGCTTGCATCTGAGCAACAAACGTATTTTCCATCGTCTTTCTTTATAGTTCAATGTAATCTATGAATATGTTAAATGTACACTTAATAATTATGGAATACTTGATGCACGTCTTACGCCAATTAAATTTTTTATGTTTCAAGAATGTTAAAAGCCAAGAATAAAAAAATGCGTCAACAGTCCATTACTGAAACTTCCTTATAACAAATCAGCTATCATTCGAATCCTCCCCAGCGACAAACTAAACATTTCATTATTTACACACACACATACACCACGTGAACAAAACTGTTTATCTGGCTTTTATTTTCGCAGTCATTTGTTGTACACATATATTTCCAATTACAAAGCTATATCTAATGACGTAAGAATTATGTTTTGATATTTGCAAATTTAAAGACACCAATTTTGTAACTATTACGAAATATAACTTTTTTACGCTCGTACAATCCCTATACTTATGTTCAGAAAAAAAATGTTTACTCGTTACGAAAAAAGAAGACCCAAAACGTTTGACTCCCTTACCACAAACATTTACTGAGATACTTGATATAGAGATCGGGAATCATATTCAGGGGCCATACACAAATTGAACAGTGAAATTTTTGCATGTGAACATAACTAAAAATAAAATATTGCTTAAAAATTATTTCTGATGTTAAGAGATTATGTGACGGCATTTCTATGCAGATCATTGTGAAAATATTGTTCAACATAATATTTTTTAGGAAAATGGGGATCTTATATCTCATAGAATTCTTGTTTCTCACATTCTGTGAGAAAAAAGGGTTCTATGAATTTTTTATATTCTTACATAATTATTA